ATTTACTTTAAAATGATCATTAATACTGAACAACAGCTATTCATTCTTGATTTACTTTAAAATGATCACTAATTTTGAACAGCAGCTGTTCATTCTGGATTTACTTTAAAATGATCACTAATTTTGAACAGCAGCTGTTCATTCTTGATTTACTTTAAAATGATCACTAATTTTGAACAGCATCTGTTCATTCTTAATTTACTTTAAAATGATCACTAATTTTGAACAGCAGCTGTTCATTCTTGATTTACTTTAAAATGATCACTAATTTTGAACAGCAGTTGTTCATACCTGGTCTACTTTTTTATTGTCCACTAGTTTTGTTATTAAAAAGTGGTTTACTTTTATATTGAGCCCTACTACTGTATAAAAAGTATTCAAGTATTAACAGCTTGACTTTACATTCTGACCAATAATACTCATCATTAAAATTATCACTAATACTAAACAGCAGTTATTCATACCTAATTTACTTGTGTATTGACAACTAATACAACATGAAATAAACTTCTAAGTGAAAACAGTATGGTCAGCAGTTCATTAAACAATCTCATACATGAGAATCTTAAATGTACAAGTTACTGTAAGAAAAAATTCAATAATAACAAATTTTAAATGCTAATATTTAACACATGTTGTATATGTTATTTACTAAATGAGATAACTTGTGTACATAAAATTCACATATAAAAAATGCACTGCAGAAACAAAATAATCATATATATGATTTTTCATAAAGTAAATTTATTAACTAAAAACTTTAAACTGAATGTACTCTTTAATGGTATACAGTACATCTTTATAACCACCTTTTTCTTTTAATTTTTGACAGCTGAATGTGTAACATTTTCTTCAGCATTATAACTTGTAGGTCACAACAGCCTTGATTATATTATATATAATATAATTAACTTATTACACCAAAATCTAAATATATGTTCACAACCTTTTATTGCAGGCTTTGCCTTTTTAGGTCACATAACCCACCACAAGTACTTGTTATCAAAGTGTATCTCATAAGACATTTTCAATATACATATATCAACAAAGGAGTTGATAGACATAAATGCAAGGTATGGCACAAAAAACAATATAGTATTTTGCTGTACACTTCAGTCTAGCAACAGACACAACATTATAAACATTTAAGTGTATACTCAAAACCTTAGAATCAAAATACTTCCTTATATTGTTTGAAGTTAGTAAAAATTTAGTTAGATATAGAAACTTTATCATTTTGGCTCAAATTAAACAATTCCTCATATTTGGTTTTCAGGGAAGTAATATCATACATACCTGAAAATTTGTAATAAATGGCAAAATCCCACATTTGGATTTTTTAGACACTTTGGCTTCTTCTATAGACTTCATTTGGGATTGCTGTTGAAAGATAATTTTGATAATTCTCAGAAAAAATAAATACTTGTATAAAACCATCATTTCATCACTGCCAAAAAGTTCCTAATTATATATTTCAGGATTAATATACCAAGATGATGCTATTTAATTTCTGACAACATTAATCACATATAATTATTGTCAATGATTAGCTATTGGTCAAATATACTGCAGACTTTAAGAAGACTATTTTTCCCTTAGTTTGTTTGTTAGTAGTTAAGCACAAAGCTGCACAATTGGCTGTCTGTGATGTGCCCACACAAGTATCAAAACCCATTTCTAATGTTATAAGTCTGTAGACTTACAGTTGAGCCACTGGGGGTCTTTACCCTAAGCATTTAACCCTATCTCCCCGAGTACCCTTTACTGAGCATGACTCAAGGTTTTAGTGTCTTATACTAAAACTTTTATTAAACTAATTTTTGTTTATGTTATACCAATTAGAATAGCATAAAATCTTATTTAATAATCCATATTTTAATAGTATACAAGTTTTAAATTCTTAATTCTAGAAGGAAATATATAAAAAAATCAAGAATTTCCACTAGTGTGACCACGAGACACATTAGCATGTCATCATCCCTATTTTATCCACTACCCCCTGAAAAAGTACAAAATTAAACGTAAAATACTCTCTATAAAATCGTTATTGCTCAAACTATAATTTTTATGGCTTTCAATTTTGTTTTATTACAGAGCTATCAAATAGAACATTAGACCCCCCTTGCCACACCCACCTGTCATATCCTCTCTTTCAAAATTCGTTAATAGTTCTTTGTTACGCTTCATTACATATTACATATAGCCAATAGAAATTCAAGGTTTTCATCAATCAAATAACGTATTGCATAAGATTGTATTTTGAACAGAATATTGTCAATTTCACTCACAGTAAAAGATTCATTCCTGTGGAAAGGTTAACGACTAGCTTGGATGAATTTGCAATGGCTCCTGTCACATAGTTAGAAAGCCAGGAAAATTTTGAGAGGTAAGTGAATTTGTCTACTTTTTGCATGTTATTAGTTGATATTCTTTGGTGCATTATTTAATTGAATAAAAATGATTAAATGCATTACTATCTATATTATATAAAATTAGAGTTAACTCTCGTCGTAAACCCAAGAGGAAGAAAAAAGAAAATTGGGTAAGTACTTTATTTCTTGTTTTTCATATTTATTCTTTATTTATTATTATAATAGTAAATAAAATCTAAAAATATGGATCTGTTTATGTTACTTAAGACTAGATTAGGTAAAAAAGTAATAATAATATAATTAAAATGGTTCATGAGGCACGCATGGGATCAGCTCATGGGTAATGTAATTCGATAGCATAACATGAGCTGCACGTTCCCCGAGTGATTTACAACTTATAATGACACGGATAATATTTAGACACGGTTCAAAGGGCAATAAAACAAAAAAATTAATTATAAATAGATGTATGCTGTTGTGACGTTAGAGCTACTTAGGATAAATGAATGTAGTTTCATGTTACAATTTGAGGTTATTCAAGAAATTAAAAAAGGTTAATTTAAGGATATTTCTATTTTTTGTTTTGGTGGTTACGAGGTCGGTCAAATTGACCAAGTTTATGTTGAGAGAGTTAATTTACATATAAATTCATTTTATACTCCTATTATTCAAATGCACCTGGTTATAAATAACATAGTATTGAACATAAGACAGAACTATTGACAAATCCTAATAGAAACAATGTGACAGTTAGATTTTCTAAAACCAAACAAGATAAAAGGCTGTGAAACTTATATACTATTAAGTTATGGATTATTAGCTATGATTTTATGCTATACTAATTGGTACAACATGAAAAACAAATTGTAGTTCAATTAAATTTTGAATGTAACTCACTAAAATCCTCGAGACATGCAAAGTAAAAGATGCCCAAGGAGAGAGGGTTAAAAAAAAGCAAAACCTATTTCAAATGGAACTCTTTTTCTTCTAGTAAAATCATATTGGATCAGCTAAGAATGAATTACTAGTAGTCTTATCGTAACTCTTCTAATCTAAAATATTAGATATTTCAGCACCAAAATCCACTACATAAAAGTGAACCAATTAATATATATATATAAACCATAAAACACATCAAATAGGATGAAGTAAAAACAAGAACCAGCAAAGTATGAAGTCTTTTATGAAGTTTTAAGACTTTATCCACTATATCACTGAATGACTGGTGTTTACCTTAATAATGAATGGTGGTTATCCATGGTGGTAAGTATTAGTAGTCAGGATAAAAGTAAACCAGCTATGAATAATTATTGGTAAGTATTAGTGGTCAGTAATACTTATAAACAATTATTCATACCTGGTTTATTTTTATACCGGCCACTAATATTTAACAACACTTATTCATACCTGCTTTATTTTTATCCCAGCCACTAATATTCAACAACAGTTATTCATATGTGGTTTACTTTTAGTCTCGTTACTAATATTCAACAACAAGTATTCACACATGCATTATTTTTATACTGATCACTAATACTTAACAACAGTTATTCATACCTGATTCACTTTCATCATCTTAACCACTAGCAATAAACCAAGTTATTCATACCCAATATATTTTTATCCTGACCACTAATATTTAACAACAGTTATTCATACCTGATTCACTTTCATCATCTTAACCACTAGCAATAAACCAAGTTATTCATACCCAATATATTTTTATCCTGACCACTAATATTTAACAACAGTTATTCACACCTGGTTTACTTTTATCCTGACCACTAATATTTACTCATTCACTGCAGCTGGGACATATATTTCCCAGTGCATAGGAAACATACATCCCAGCCACAGTGAATGGGTTAACAACAGTTATTTATACCTGGTTTACTTTAAGTGTCATTAATAATATCAAACAATAAGTATTCATACATGCTTTATTTTTTATACTGACCACTAACATTTAACAACAGTTATTCATAGTTGGTTTACATTTATTCTGACCATTAATATTCAACAACAGTTATTCATAGTTGGTTTACTTTTATTCTGACCACTAATATTCAACAACGATATTCTTATTTTAAGACAAATTTGAATGACAGGGTTTTCAAAATATATCTTGGAAAACAATAACTATTTCTGAGAAGAAAACCATATCAGATGTTTCAAAAAATGAGTACCATGAAGCTTTCTAGTGTATTTGGTTCAAATATTTACCCTTGCTAAGCTATCAAGTTCAGAATTTGCATTGCATGACACACATGCTACAAAATTACCCTAGGTCTAATGTGGTTGATGAAAATATTTAACATTCAAGAATACTTACAAATACAAAACCATAATTCCCTATTTTTTATACATGTTGTCATGTAACAAATCAACGTGTATCTACAATATCATAATTAAGTTATATAATATTATAAAAACTGTGAAGATGGTTGACAGTTAACCAAACATCCAGATTTTTTATTTTATTCAGACTATATTACACATATTATGTAAATTAAAATTTATGAAATATAGTTTCCAAAAGAGGAATAATTATTATGTATTATTACTATAAAATATGATGCATATATCATCTAACTTAAACAACATTCTATTCAATGTAAAGTCCACACAAAAGTAAAAGAAAGTAACACCATCAAAATAAACTTTATATTATATTTATGTTATATACAATTTCCGCTAACATTTACCATAAATTTGTCAAAGTTCCGTTTGGCTTGTACAAGAGCATTTCCAAATGTTTTGCTCAAAAATGAACCAGTATCTTGAGCTGACATAACATGTTGGCTCAGTCTCACCAGCAGATACATGGAATAACTAGATGAAAACAAAATAATACAAATATTTTGAAAATTATATGCACTTGAAAGTTAATTAATGTACAAAAATTACAAATTACAAAAAAAAATTGCATACATTAAAGATATTAGCCAACTGTTACTTTCTTCTGAAATGAAACTTTGTATACAATTTCTAAACAGCTACATAATGTGTGTGTCTTGTTTATTATAAAGTTTACAATATTCAAGGAATACTTTTGTCATTCAATATTATACTTATAAAAATACTTACTATACTCGACCCCAAACCTAACACCTATTTGTCTTTGTTCTTTAGGTCTGACTTAACAAGAAAGAAGTATACTTTCTAGATGGATGCATAATAATGTAGCCTACTTGTTCAAGCACAGGGTTAAACATTTTCAGATCCCCAAAAAATAAAATCACAAATTTTGACACACTAAATAGTAGATTTAAATTACAGAGCTCATGTTTAAATTAAGGAACTATTCTTTATAAAAAATGTCTGTGCACTACATGAGAAAGTATACGTTGTTAGTAGAAATTATATTTTTACTATTTGTAAATTTATACAGAAATGAAAATGATCCTATGTCACTTTTATGACCAAAACTTTTATCCAAAGTAAAGAAGTTAAAAGCAAATTACTGTAAATTGAAAAAACATAAAACAACTTGTTGATGACAAAATCTACTATTTATACATACTACTCAACATTTGTTAAGAATCAAGATTTCCAACAAAGATTAGATTCATACTTTGCCATTTACTGAATGATTTATTTTGTTAAGATAGTATACACTTGCTCAGTGCATATTTGCTTTTTTTTAAATATTTTGTTCACTTATGTAAATAGCTAAGTAAAAATAACCAATTTGATGGAAAGAAAGACTACCCAAAACTAGTAAACATTTTGAAGTAGCTATAAGTTAGCTAATAACATTTTGCTTAAAATCAGTTGATGATTTTAACAAAACATTAAATTGAAATTTTACCATCTATTTATTATTGGACATCAAACATAATTACACCAGAAGGAAGTTGAGTCATTTTTCTGTCATAATGAAAATCATTATCGAAATATCTTCATAACTGGATAAGATATTCCAAAGAGATTGTGAGTACACACATGGCAGGTGTCTGTGTCACCTAATATACAGTTTAGCCTTTGCAAGATTATGCAAAAACAAAAAGAGTGTTCATAAAGTTATTAAAAAGATATTGGTAACAGCTGATAAAAATGAAAAAAAATGTGAAAATCCAAATTTGAAAGTACATTTTTCAAAAAGCCACTCCATATGTGTTTTTACATGATGAATACCACATCTGTTAGCGATAAGGCACAATAAAACTTTGACAACACCTGCACATCCAACTAATCAGATACTGATGATATTGTTGTGAAAGTTCAGTCCATGTATTCTTGGATGAGGAACTCCAGCTCCTGTATAATCCTCAATTGCACTCGATGGGTATTATCACTTTCTGTAGCATATGTGACAAGAATGTCCAAAAACGGTTAAGATCGGGAGATCTTGATAGTCAATTCAAGATAAGCAGTGGTGATCCTGTCTTGCTCAATGATGGTATACATTGTCATAATCCAAAAATGAAGTTTGGCCTGACTGCACCAGCACAAATCCTCACTATTGGAAAGAGAATCTCAAATTGTTACCTAACTAGAGTGAAGGTGCCTTTCTAAATGATACATAGGTCCATTCATCCCTCTATGTTGATTTCAGTCAACACCATGACATCTATTATGTTCTGCAACATGCTGTGGCAAGAAATATTCACTATATTATCTTCAGACACAGGGTAATCTGGTACCATACTCAAGACAGAATCTGGAATTTTTAGTGAAAAGGAGTGATATCCAATCATTGACCCAAATTAATGCTTTTTAGTTTGCCAGGACATCAGATATATGGGAGAATCAAGGCTTGTCTGAGCCTCAATACCAGCTTCATGAAGCCATCTGCAAACTGCCTGTGTGAAAAGTCTAACCCATTATGTTTTGAAAGTAATTTTACAGTTGGGAACTATTTGTGGCAAGTCATGGATGTGATTTAATTTGAATATGGCAATCTTTCAAAGGGATTGTAATTAATTTCTGTCTCCCATCATGTTGTATTCTGGCTTTGCCACTTGTTTCATAGTGACTCCACAAATGGGAAATCTGACTTTCAGATATATTCAATGAGTTGAGTGATATTGCATTAAGTTTCCTCATTTTGAGCATCCATATACTCCCGTTCGTGTCCTTATTACTTATTCAATGTCTAATCTGTGTCTTAGCTATTGCAGTTACTGATAAAAAAGTTAATGATAAGGGAGTTAAAACCTAGGCATACCAATCTCAATTAAAAATGCAAGTTTTGCTTATATATACCCTATGTATACACAGAAATTCAACAAAATGCTTGAACAATTACAGGTGTGGAGAATAATTAAGTGTCAATGCTAGTCATATAGAGGTACCTAACAGGACTGGTACTAATTTGAATTCGACCTCAAATGTTGATCCCTAGTAAAAACTGACTAATATATTTAGGAAGTGTGGCAAGTCCATGCACAGTGATACAACATCAAAAGTTAGTCAGACAGTACTTTATTGCAGAAAATATTCCATTATTTAAATAAGTATTACAGAAACAATCAGTCTTTGTCCCTCCAACCCTCGGATTTCTGACTTAAAACATTCAATGTTTATAAAACACATCGCACAGGAAATACCCATGAAGAACTAAATACTTTTGGCTTCACATCTTTTTCTTTTAATAAAATTATTGAGGTATTATTTTCATTAACAATTAGGTTCATAAGAAATCAACACAAAGCACTCAATATATATATCAAAAATCCATGTTTATGAGAGCAATACTCATGAATAGATTTGGTCAAGGACATATATTCATTATGAAAGAACTAATAAAGACCTGATCATCCACCCAACCCTCAACACATCTAAGGCCATCTAGCATTTTCTACAGCTATCTCTTGCCACTAATGTTTTGGCAAATGAGCTTGTGCAAAATCCTTTTAAAAGTTCAAGTTTGTTCATTACTTTTTGTATACTCAGTAGAAGTTGTAAACCTTAAGAATACAAAAACTATATTTAATATTTTGTAAGGTATTATGAAAGCTCAAAACTGTTCCTTGTTCATTTCACTACAGTGAAAAAAAAAAATGGTACACATGTTCAAACATTATGCAGCATATATGCCACTTTTTTATAATATTTACCCTTTATGCATATTAATTTTTTGATTATAAAAAATTGTGCTATTAATGAAAGCTAATCATTTGGTATTTTCACTATGGAATAAACTTTAGGTTTATTTCTTGATTTCTTTTTTTTTACTGCTTAGTTTATTTGAACTTTGGTTCACACAAATAAAGGGACAAATAGTACAAGTTAATTGGTTTTTCCAGATTATTAAAATATTGTGATTAAAATAAATGTTACAGAATTTTCTATTATGTGAGAAGATTTTGACTAATATTTCAGTTGTCATCAGTCACTATATATATGTATATATATCTATATATATCACACATTTATATATTTCTACAATGAATTCAGTGTTTGAAAGTTCTTGAATTTTTTTCAATGTAAAGTTCAAGGACTTTTACAAGATTTTCAAGGACAAAAAGAAAAACTTTTAAGGATAATCTTCAAATCTTTAATAAGTTATTAAAGACAAAAATACATATTTCTTATTAACGAAGGGTTATAAATATCAGTTATAGTAATCACAAATTAAAACAATACCTCTTGGTTAGCTCTACTGACTACACATTTCAGTGATCTGCATAATATTTTAGTATTTTGACCACTTGTGTTTGAATGAATGTGGTGGATGATCAAAAACGAAAAAAAATATAAACCAATAACAACAAAAGAAAACACTATGTATGATTATGTTGAAACTGCAAACATCAGCTTTAAGTTGATCTTATAGAAAATGGAAGTTGCCAATATTCATCAATAATCCTGCACACTGCTTACCTAAGATACACTGCTTTTTTTTGCCTTTTAGATGGCTATTTAAAACTGATATTCCATTGTATACAAGTCTATGGATTTTTTGCATATTATATTTCACATATAATGAACAACTACATTCAATGAAGGCTATGTAATGCTCTTCAAATCAACGGAGCATGAAGACATATTCCACTGAATGTGTCTTAGATTAATTTTAGCACTCCTATGCTTAAAAAAAACAAAACAAAGTGAGACGACTTAAATTTTAATAGATCTGTCCTTGATTTTCAAGGACTTTTGACAACTATAAAAGTATTTGGACAAAATTAGAGCTTCTAAGGCCTTCAAATGAAACAGATCTATCAAAATTTAAGTTGAATACAAACCCTGCAAGACACACTTTTTACATTTTATATCTTATTTGTGTATAATATTTTGTACTTTTCTGTACTGTTTAAAAAAATTCATTACTTACAAACCATCAACTTTGTCATAGTAAGAAATGAAGTTGATAAGTTCTGGTTCAAGAACAGCAAACAATTCACCCATCATTCTTCTACAGAAAAAAAATATCCAGTCAGTTTAAACTAACAAAGGTATAGCAAATAATTTACCCATCAGAATACCACAAATAATATTTGAGATAGTGTCAGAAAATAAAAACTGGGTAAAAAGATTCCTACAAAATGAAATATTCAACTTTTAAAAAGTATAACAAACAATAATATTTCGTTCTCATGTACACATATTTATTAATGTTCAATGTTCAACAAAATACAAGCACAGTAGCAAATTTACTCATAATTACTTGAAACATTAATATAGCAAAACATAACTTTAGATACAATAAACAATTCACATATAAATTCCCTTCCCAGGAAAAAATAAAGTTCCACTAGCTAATAGCACATTACAAAATTCAAAAATTATTCTAGTTACACTCTAACTACATGTACAAGCACTTTAACATTTTGTCAATGAATATCTTTTACTGAGAAATATTTCAGGTCTTACTAGATATAAGTATATTAAAAACTGTCAATCATCCTTATTCACAGAAAAATATCTACATACACATTTAAAAATTTACTGGTAATTATCCTCCACAGAACAATATAATTAGATGAATAAACTATTAGTAAATGAAACAATTCATTTATTATCATTCTGTTCCACAGAAAAATATTAAAGTTCAATAAATTAAAGTTACTTCAAATTGCTAGCCAACTTCAGAACTGAAAACAGTGTCAGCCACATCCTGGCCTATGTGACAAAACAGCAAGTAGTTCTTGTGGTGTAGTGCAGTGCAAAGTCAACTAGGCATGTGATAAGGAAACTAGAGTGCATAAAATCATAGCTGTTGGTTTCGAGTGCAGTATGGATTCTATTATATTTCAATAATAACTTACAGTTTTTTCTTTAAGTGGCTCACTGTCAAAGAACCACTATTTGAAACAGATTTGTGGGTAACATGCTGGGGACAACTAGATTAAACATTTCAGCAATCAATCATTCATTCTCTATCTATGCTTAATACATTAGCAAAATGTTACATTTTTGTAATTATTCACCTTTTTTTTATGACAAGTATACTAAAATATTCACAACTCATACTCTTGGCTGAAAAGTATTCATGTTTCAGTAACCAGAAGCATTTTAATTCAGCTTTTTAAGTATAATATTTTTCTGTGAAGGTAAATGATTACTAAACTTATTAACATGCTTCTGGCTACTGACAATCATTTTCCTTTGCACAAAAACTTTAAATCTATTAAATTGTATGTTAGATATTTTATGAATATTTCTCCTACATAGTAAAATATCCAAGTTCTATAAACCATTAGCTTGCCATTTCACTAATTATTCTTATTTAAAAAAACATCAAGGCTCAATAAAGAATAACAACATTAAAAACTTCAGTAATCATTCAACTCTATAGAAAGTTATTCAAATTTGATAAAGTATAAGTTCATAAAATAGTTCACCAATGACTTCCACTCATAGGAATACATTCAACCTCAATTGTACACTAAGAAATTAAATATTTCATCCATTATTGTCCTCCACAGGAATATATCTAAGGTTATCTCTTCCATTACATGCTGGGTGAAATCCAGGAAAGTATCTATGAGAGTAATTGTACTATAATTTTTGAAATTGTATGCAAGTATTTACAAAGTTTTGCAGATTATTAGTAAACATTACAATGATTTCATACACAAAATATCTTGGTTTTGAATTATGTTTTAAGATTTTTTAATTGAAGATTTGCTCGTGTATTCTTTCATTCGGAATGTTGACTATCCAACGTACAAAGTAATTATGATTTTAAGATCCAAAATACTTTTCTTTATCTGAAATTTGTCAAGTTTCATTTACATAATCTCTATATCTTTCTAGATAATCATCAAACGTTTTTTAAATAAAACTTTATATTTAATCTGTTATTTTATCAATATTAACTCTATATGGTGTTGATCAATTTGACCGACCTTGTAACCATCATAAAAATTACAAATAAATCTAAGTTACTTTTTTGTTCCAGAATAACTGAAAATTGTAATAGCAAACCACAAATGTTTATTCTAAATAGATGAAATCTCTGAACAATATAAACCAATTTATATTTATTAATTTTTGTTTTATTGACCTTTGAACTGTGTTTGACTAAAAGTACCCCAACAGAAATTGAAAATTACATGGCACATATGCACTGACATGACCCTAACTAACAGCGTAATGCAAAAGCTTCTTCCGCATATACCCCATGAAGGTTTATTATTATTTTTCTTTCATTATCTGAACTTTATCTTTTTATGATTTTAGTTACTTTTATAATAACAAGCAGTTAAAACAAATGAAAAAAACAACTTTGTAATCAAATATCAAACATTTTTATTTTCAGTAAAGCTTTCTATTTTATTTGTTATTTTTGTACTGTAACATTATACTTATTTCTCCAGGTTGTAGGTAAGTAATCAAAGTATAACGAAAATATAGGTGGAAAATAAAATGTATGGTTGGTAGTGATTACAAAATTTCAAAGTACTTATGGTTAGAGTTTACGCTCTCACCTTTTCACATTTATTTTCTGTAGTTATTTTATTGCTAGTAGATGAGTTAGAAATTAGAAGAAACAAAATTAACAGTACTCTGTTCTTTTCAGTATGGTCAGTAAAGTTCAAAGTAATTTTCCTGAGAGTTTCTTCTAATCTTTTTACACCTATTTCCTATCGTTATTCTACTGTTAGCAGCTGAAGTAGAAACCTGCCGAATATAAAGCAATGAATCACCGTTCATGTTTAAGTATTACTGTACTTTGAGTACTTTGACATCATCAATATCAGATAAATTCACGCGGCACAATTCCCAGAATTTTGCCTACTTTCAAAACACAATGGGATAGGATATATCAACTTGTTGATAGTGTTACGTCT